CAAATTTTTATATCCAAAAAAGTTGAAGCTATGAACAGAAAAATATAAATATAGAACATATTTATCTGAAATTAAAAAAAGAAATTATTGAAATCCTACAGTCAGATTTTTAGAAAATTAATTTCAAATAAATAAACAAATTTATAATTTACACTATAAAGGTTAAACACACTCGGTGTAGTTAAAGGTTAAACTACACTCGGTGTAGTTAAGGCACTTTTAAAATATTATAGCGTCTCTAAGATATTTTGTTGACTACGGCATATTTTTTCTTTTTTGTTGTTTTTTTATCTTTATAATGTTGTGATTCTACATGATTGGTACAAAGTTATAATGTTTTTGTTAAATTATTGGTACAAAGTTACATGATTGGTACAAAGATAGGTACATGATTGATACAAAATTATAATATTTCTGTTAAATGGTCAGGTTTGAGAATTATGAAAAAACGAAAAATATTAAAATTATAAATTTTGTGGTATCATAAATTATAAATGTTTGTAGCGATAAAACCCAGACCGAAGATTCTTTTTTATAAAAAAAATCATATTAAAATTACAATCGCTCGTCCAAATTTGAATAAGATTTTAAATTAATACGATTTTTACGAATATAATACGAATAATACGAATATATATAATAATACGAATATATATAATAATACGAATATATATAATAATACGAATTTTAAATTAATAAAAATTAAATTAATATAAGTGAAATGAACATTATAGTTTAACAATATGATCTGCTCTAATTATTTATTGGCAATTTTTTTTTAATTATAAGCTCTTTCTTGGTCGGAATTCTAGTATTTTTTGTGAAAATTGATAGAAATATTGTGTTTTTACAACTATAAATAGTTAATAAACGTCAGAACCGATTAGAACTAGGATTAGTAGTAAATTAAGGAACTTTTTTTAAAAGATTTTAACTAAATTTATGTTAATGTCGATGAGCGGAATTGATCTAAAGACTCCAAAATAGTGTTCTTTAGGTTCACTATTACAGGTAGTAAAAAGTTTTTGAAAATTATATAAAAAAAAGAAAAGTTTCTTTAAATATTAAAAAAAAATCTGAAGCAAAAAAAAATTATACCATTGAAAGCTTTTGTTTGGACACAATACAATGAGAAAATCATGATAGTTCCAAATAAAAGTACCGAAATTACCGGTATTCGAAAAATTTGCAAATTGTCACCGAAACTACACCGAGCACTAAGATTTTTGATACCTCTTTTTTTTTATTTATATTTTTGTGAAATTTTTGTATTATTATATTGATTTACTTTAAAAATAAGGCTACTGAAAATTCAATTTTTCAGAAATCAATTAACAAATAAACTGTTCCCATATAAGGTATTCTATAGTTAAGAACCGTAGCCATTTTAAAAATTCAAACGTTTCTTGTATTTTCTTACGCATGCAAACCTAAACATTGCGCTTTTTACAAATATCTGTGATATAATAATAAAAATAATAAGTTATAGCTGTAACAACTGGTGTTAACAGTTGTGAAGTGCAATAACGGTAGATATTGCACTGTAATAGCTCAGTTTGTTTTTGTTACTATTTCTACTATTTCAGATGGTAAGTTATTCCACGCATTTACAACTCGATTTTGGAAAAAGTGATATCTGAAGGTGTTTTTGCAAAATGTTTTTTTCATTTGGAATTTGTGTTGTCGTGAATACGGACCTTCATTTGATGTGTTTTGATTACTGTTTGTAACCCGATTTATTTTATCATGACCATGTTGAATTTTAAAATGTTGAATAAGTTCTCCACGTAGTCTACGTTCTTCTAGAATCGTTAATTGCATAATATTTAACCTAATTTTATAAGTTAATTTTTTAATTGTAGATGCTAGTTTGGTTGCTCTTTTTTGGATCATCTCAATTTTATCTATATCTAGTTGTAGGAATGGAGACCATTCTTGTACCACAAACTCAAGATATGGACGTATGAATGTTGTATAGAACTTTTTTACTATGTTTACGTCTAAATATTTAAATGTTCTCTTTATGATACCTAACATTCTGTTGGCTTTGCTAGTTACTAAATCAATATGTGAATGCCATTTTAGATCCGATTGAACTATTATACCTAAATAACGTTCAGCTTCTGTATTACATAATGTATAATTGTAATTGTAATCAATATAAATGTTGCATTTAGATTTTTTTTCATGATATGCATAACTTTGCATTTTTTATAATTAAATTTGATGAGCCAGATAGATGACCATGCCATTATATTATTTATATCATTTTAAAGTCTTATTGAATCATTCGGATTTTTATGTTTATTATTTTATTATCATCAGCATAAAGTTTGATAGAATTTTTGAATTGATCTGGCAAATCATTAATGAAAATCAAAAACAGCAGTGGCCCTAAAACCAATCCCTGCAGTACACCACTGATAACTGGTAGCCAATCTGAGACAGTGTCACCAAAGATCACTCTCTGTTTTCTGTAAGTTAAAAAGTTTTCTATCCATCTTAGATAACTTCTCACGATACCATATGATTTAAGTTTAGTGATCAAACGAGAGTTTAGTACTTTATCAAAAGCTTTTTCAAAGTCTAGATATAACAAATCAACTGTGTGGCCATTTTCTAGTGCATCTGTTATGATATGGGTTATATTTTCTGATTTCCAGAGCTCAGGTAATTGTTTCTCAGTCAATAATTTTATGTATATTAAAGTTAATGGTTTACAGAAAGTACTATGACATTTACTTAAGACATATAGACTTATCCCATCTACTTCAACAACTTTATAAACATACAATTTTTTAAATTTATTTTTAATAGTATGGTGAGTTATTATATTGTTTATATCTACTTCTAGAATGTTTATCTTCATTTACAAAAACTGATGTGAAACTATTGTTTAAAATATTTGATATAGATTCTCTATTTGCTCCAGTGTTATTATATTTATATTATCACACTGTAACAAATAGAGAATCTACATCAAATATTATATATATATATATATATATATATATATATATATATATATATATATATATATATATATATATATATATATATATATATATATATATATATATATATATATATATATATATATATATATATATATATATATATATATATATATATATATATATATATACAATGGCAATCATCAGCCATTGTGTATTTCGTCACTTAAACACCGTTTAAAAATTACAAATTAAAATTACGGTGGAACGAGTTCTGACGTTACCAAACAAAACAAAACAAAACAAAAAGACGTCAAAGGTTTTAGTCCCCGGTATCAAATAAGGATAGTAAAAATTTTTTTGAATGCCGGCACTTTGATATTATTTCATATTTTTTATTAAGTAAATTTTCTCCTTTATATGATAATATGTGAAACTTCTCGCGGAGACAAAGATTACAAACTTTTAATGCTTGATTGTAGGGCTTACAATGTTGAGCGAGCTGAAACAACATAAAAATACCAACTAGTTCACAAACTTCAGCTCCATCAAATGCTCCCATTGTGACATCAAATAATCCGCTTCTTTTCTTTATCCAAGCTTCGTCGTTGTTAAAAATTAAAGATTTTCTTGCATGATATATTATTTTTTTTATCGTCATTTTTTAAAATAACATGTTGTTCAGCGAAACTGATTGCGTTGGTAAGAATGTTTTCACTAATAGATGGGTAAAAATCATTTGTATCAAAAATTAGAAATTTGCAAAGGTGTTTATTTTTGATTTTTTTAAACCAATCGATAACAAAATGGGTGCTTTGCCATTGATTCAACTGTAGTTTATTTTTTAATTCGTGAATAATTTTAGATAAAATAACTTTACTAATTCTTCCTACCTCGTTTTTCGAAGGGTTTAAAAGGCGAACTGTAGAGTTGTTAATAAAATTATCCTTATGGTCTTTTAATGTAAAAAAACAGCCGGACGATCCGTTTATCTCAATATTGTTATACACTTCATGGTGGATTAAAAGGTTTTTTCCAGGGACTACTAAAATAACGGGACGCGAAACTCTAATTTCATTTAGTTTTGACGACAGGGCCGATGAAAAAAAAAGCAAAACACTTCTATTATGAAACAAAAATATAATTATGAATAGAAATTTAATAAAAAAATGTTATGGCTCAATTATTTATCACTATTTTCAAACAAAAATTAAATTGTGTTGATTAAGTGTCAAAAATAAAACAACTTTTTACAAGCAAACTGTAAATTATCCGTAAATTAGCTGTAAATAATTATTTTTAAAGACAATGTTAATAAACTAATTAATCACTACTTACCATACTATATTATATTCATATCATAATAATAAATATATAATTATAAATAAATTTTAAACCATATAAATATAAAGCCATAAATACATTTCAAAACGTTATTAATTATATCACCAACGTCAACTAAATAATCAGACCACTAAGTATTAAGTTTCTTTCTTTTTCTGTCCTCAATGTTTAATAAAAACAATATCAGATGTATTATCAAGGGTCGTAACACCTTTCAAGAAACAGTTAGTTATTATTGAGATAACTTTTGCAACACCTATATATGTCTGTTTCTAAACCAAATGGTAATGTTGAATGCAAGAATAAAAATAATTTCTTTGCATAAACAACACATTGAAAACGTTTTTCAGACATTGGAATGCTGTTAAACAGTAGATAACAAACACAAATAAACTGGAGAAGAGTATCACCAGGATAATAAAATTTACCACGTGAAACATAATCTGTAAATTCAGAACTAGCTAATTGTGATGTTGTTGTATCAACTACACGCTGCGGATCGATCTTGTGCTGTACATAACCAGCCATATAAAAAAGGGCAGCATTCTCCTGATCATTAATAGATTCATTTTCTGCATTAATTAAACATTCATCTAAATAAATAATATCCTCTTCCATTAGATCCATAGTGTAACAGTCTGAATGTATGAGCAATGAATGTATGAGCAATGAATGTCAGTTTCATCCAAACAAACTATTTTGCTGAATAATTTTAACCGCTGAAGATGCAAACTGTTCAATAATTGTTCTGCTGAGATAAAATAATTTCTGCCACTTAGTTGTCTACAAATAAGCAAAAAAATTGCAAAAAGATATAACCAAATAAATTGAGTTGAACAGAGTATAAAATTATAGTTAAAACAGCAATTGTCAAATAAAAACGCATCGTTAAACTTATGTATGTTAAAAAATAATACATTTAAATAAATTAGAGAAATATTTATTTTTTAGATTTCAAATCTACAAAATTTTCTTAACTATAAGTAACACAAAAATAATTTTACCTGTAGATGCCAAATTCATCTTCAAGACGATTTCTTTGAAAAATACCTGGAAGAACATATAGGTGATCTTCTGAAAGTAGTTTTTTTATTAATTCTACCAATCCTTGTAGGGTGTTAACTAAAGCATGTTTTGTTTCTGGTGTAAAAGTATTATGACGCTTTAATCCCTTTCCCTCTGACATCTTAGAAGTTGCATCAGCAAATGCTAAAATTTCTTTAAATCTAAGGTCATCGAGTGTCTGGAAAGGAGACCTATTGATATCATTAAGTAAAACATCACAACCTTTCCTCTTTACATTTAGCAGGTTCCATAATGAAACAATTGGTGCTAAAAAACAGGCAGTGTTCTCAAAATTAGCTAATCTCAATGCTGCAACAGTTTTTTCATTAAATACAGCAACCATGTTTGCAACATTTTGTCTATCAATCAAACTAGGGTACACTGACTTGCGTGAAAGCTTTGTATTTTTGGCAACACAAATTTTCTGTCTGTTATATAATTGAACAATGTGAGACCAATCACCAGAGAGAGGTTGATTATTAATTTTTAAACTAATTGTTTGTGTTTTTTCCGTAAACCAATTATTTCTTATACTTTTAAACAAGTGAACTGGATCGTGTAGCATAATAACTGTTTTTTCTTTTTCTATAACACTTTGCCATGGAAAAATTTTATTAACAACGAAACTTTGGTAAACACTTCGATTTGTGGGATGTTTATCTGATAAAAGACACAGTAATTCTCCTCCTGCATCAATTATTTGCTTATTTATGTTTATAATCAAATCGTGAAGAAAGTGCACTGACAGTTTAAATATTGGTACAATTCTACAAACAAAAGAAGGTTTACCAAACATAGGTTTAATCATAAAGACTAATAACGTTTTTGCAATTTTAGTGGGATTGTTCTCGCTATATCCAATGAGGTGTTCTCCTCTGAAACTAACACTTGGTTTAATATACATCTCATCAAAGAGAAGGCAGCAACGCTTTTCAGAACTATTAAAATTTTCAAAAACAACTTTGATTGTATTATTGCACTCTTTTTCATTTCCAACTCCTCCAACTCTTCCTAATTTTGAAATGAGAGTCTTTGGACTGGGCAAACAAAGCAGATTTCTTAAATGTCGATAACAGCATCTTGAGGACAAATACAGTTCAAGTGCACGACGTATACATAAAGTAGAAAAGCGCAGTCCATTTGGAGAATGTGGTGAGGCATAGTTGTTCAATGAGGAAAGAAATTTCTTCAGAAGTGTCACTGTATGTATTTTCAATTTGACTAATCAAACTTAATACCTCATCGTTTATTTCAGGATTAGAGGTACAAACTCTTTTGACAATAGCTTTAAGCTGTGACCACCGAGTAAGACAATGAGAAAAACTGAGCAGGTCATAGCAGTTAACTTTTGTATGCCTATAATAAATATTAACGTGACATGAATGACAGTTGATTTCAACAGAAAATGTTGTTTCAGGTAGACATGATCGAGAAACATCAAACAATATGACTTTTGAATTTTCAATGAATGCAAAGTATTGAGGATATCTAAAATAGATTTAATAACAAGTAAACTTTAAATCAAAACAAACAAATATCATAAAACAAGGGGAAAAAAATTAATATTACCTTTCTTTTATTTCCGACAACATTATTTCAACATCATAAAATCTAATTAAATCAATTTGATTGAAATCATCCATTTCATCAGGTATTGCATTTCGTGATGTTAAAGAAATTTTTTTTATATTTGTAGATCTTGGTTGTGTTGAGACTGTTTGGCGCACCATTGAAGATGTGCATCCAGGAAAAATAGATAAACGAGTCTTTGTCTCCGCGAGATTTGTCTCTGAACCTTTGTCTCCGCGAGAAGTTTCACATATTATCATATAAAGGAGAAAATTTACTTAATATAAGATATGAAATAATATCAAAGTGCAGGCATTCAAAAAAATTTTTACTATCCTTATTTGATACCGGGGACTAAAACCTTTGACGTCTTTTTGTTTTGTTTTGTTTTGTTTGGTAACGTCAGAACTCGTTCCACCGTAATTTTAATTTGTAATTTTTAAACGGTTTTTAAGTGACGAAATACACAATGGCTGATGATTGCCGAAATGCATGAAACTCAGAGTTCCATCAAAAGTTGTTTTTATTCATTTAATATAAATAAATAAATATTGCTCTATTATTTAATAGTATTGAGCACTCTTAAACGCACAAGAGTATTTGTATTATTATTATACCATAATAATACATTTTCTATTTTGTATATATATATATATATATATATATATATATATATATATATATATATATATATATATATATATATATATATATACATACATATATATATATATATATATATATATATATATATATATATATATATATATATATATATATATATATATATATATATATATATATATATATATATATATATATATATATATATATATATATATATATGTATATATATATATATATATATATATATATATATATATATATATATATATATACATATATGCTAAATATAGTTAATAGAGAGAGTCAATTTAACATGATTAATCTGTTTGTTCGTATTTGGCTTATGCTAAATTAAATACACTCTTTTCTTAAATTTGAGTTAAATTTATTGGAAGGAGATTCTTATATAGAAAATATTTTTTGTATTATTATTTTGATTTACGTTAAAAATAAGGTTACATCATTGACTTTTCAGAAATCCATAATTTACGACTTTTAAGAAAGTTTTTATTGATCTTTCTAAAGCTTTTGACACCGTAAATCACGACATTCTTCTTTAAAAACTTGAAGTGTATGGAGTGAAAAACAGTAACTTTCTTTGGTTTAAAAATTATTTATCGAACAGAATGCAATATATTCAGTTTGAAACAACAAAAACAACAAATAGTGCCATAACTTGTGGGGTTTCCCAATGCCTAATATTGGAGCCATTATTATTTTTACTCTATGTAAATGACTTATATTCAACATCAAACTTATTAAATTTAATCTTGTTTGCGGATGACTCCAATTTGTTTTATTCACATAGAGACATTAAGACACTTTTTAATATAGTTAACAAAGAATGACATAAAATAAATGAGAGTTTCAGGTGTAACAAACTCTCTTTGAATGTCAAAAAGACCAAATTCATCCTATTTCATAAACTAAATAAAAATATTTTTTTTAAACTACCTGATCTAAAAATAAATAATACTAATATAAAAATAGAAAATTTCATAAACTTTCTAGGTATGGTCTTGGATGAAAATTTGTTGTGGAAGCTCCATATTAACATTTTAGAGATAAAGCTCTCAAGAAATATTTCATTAACTTATAAAGTAAAACCTTTCCTAAATATCATTTCCTTAAAAAGCTTATACTTAATACATAGTCACCTATGCTACGGTAACATAGCCTAAGCAAGCACAAATTATGCTAAGCTAACAGTAAACAAAAACATGCCAGGAGAATTGTCTTTGGAGTAAGTAAAAAAGTGTCTTTTGAACCTCTCTTATGCAAATTTGGAGCGTTGAATGTATACAAAATTAAAATACATCTTGTTTTACAGTTTATGTACAAAATAAAATATGGACTCTCCGCCGATATTTCAACCCTATTTTATTTTATAAATTGTAACTTTCTACGGCAAAATTAAAAGTAACAATAGTTTTGAAGCTTTTAGATTATAAAGATAAATTTTAAATTAAAAAAAAAACTATTAAGTTAAAGGTAAAAAAATATTTATTAATGAGACTTCTGTGTTAAAACAAATCAAATAAGAAAAAGTTTAAGAGAAAAAATGAAATTAGTCCGGAAATCTGGTAAACTTGCATACATCTCCTACAATAAATTAAATATTGACGGTTGAAAAAAAATGACGAAAACGAAGAGAACAACTATGTTGGAGGAGTTAAAACAGATCATCGAGATAAGTAATTTGGTGTCATTTTTTATTTGAGTATTTTATCGTTTGAATTTTTTTTTACTTAATAAGTATTTTTTTCCAATATTAATCTAAAATCTTATGAATGCTTTAAACAACAAAAATTTTGAAAAACTCTTGTTTGGTCCTTTTCACTTCCTGGATAATTTTTTCGACAAAAAATTGAAATATTTTTCAAGAAACTCAAATGAACTTACTAAATGTACCTTATATTGACCCTTATGATTTCAAAATAATAAATCAATCTATTATTTATTTTTTATTTTTTTTATTTTTTATTATTTACCTCCTCAAGGCCGATAAGGCCACTACAGATGAGTAGGCTACTTAATTGTGGTTATAACCCTCTCTCAACTCCATAACTCCGAAATACGAACCCTGCCAAACAAGACCGCTGCGCGGAGAAACAAGTTGAGTGCGGTACTACCAGGAACGTGGTGGAGATCGAACTCGGAGCCTCTCGCTTATGAAGCGAGCGTTTTACCACTACACCACTACCGCATATTGCTCATCAATATACAAAGCTCTAGAAAAATTTTTGAAACAAAACAAAAACTCTATAACAAAATTTCTCAAAAGTAGGAGTATTAAAAACAAAAAAAAAAGATACAAAAACTATAAATACCTTTATCAATGCTAAGTCAAAACTGCAAAAAAACAGTTTTATAGTAAAAAGATTACTGAATCTAAATTTGATATTAAAAAAATATGGAATGTAATTAACAGAATAATGGGTTGTAATAAAAGTAGTTAACCATTTGCTTTCAATTTTACTATTAATATTATAATCACTGCCCTATGCAAATCTCAAAAGAGTTTAATAATTACTTTACTAACGTAACCTAAATTTAGCTAGTAAAATAGTGCCTCCAATTGATTCGTTTAAAACCTATTTAAGTTCATCTAACCCAGCGGGCACAGACGTCAATCAAACGTCTTACGGACGTCTTAACTAAGTCGCGACGTCTCAGACCAAATTAGGACGTCCTAAAGACGTCTGGTAAAGACGTCTTTGTTAGGACGTCCTTGTGACGTTAATATAAAGACGATATCAGGACTTCAATATTTAGACGTCCTATTGACGTCGCTAAGACCTACATAAGACGTCCTAACTACCTTAAAAATTAGTAAAAAAAATTAATACTATCAACTTGGCGCATACAATATTATGCGCAAATTCGGTTATTTAAATATGTCTACTTGTTTTGGTTGATTATTTTAAGACTATTATTTTGTTTAGTTATTTATCGTTTAAAGATATTTTTTAATTTTCTATATTCTATACTCTATAATCTATAAACTATAATCGATACAATATTTAAATATAAGAATAACTAAATATTTAAATATAAGTTACAAGTATAATGAGGGAATTTTAACAAAAGACATAAAAATTGCACCAAGACTTTTCACTTTGTGTTTTATAGAATAGTATTGATATTTTGTGTGTCTGTGTTATATATAAATTAATATATACATATTAATTTATATATATATATATATATATATATATATATATATATATATATATATATATATATATGCAAAGATTTGTAATATCTTGACTGTAGAAATAGGTAAATGGATAAATAAATTGTATATATTTTGTTATTCCTGTGTTGTTTCATTCCATTTTATGATTTTTCCATCATGGGTTGTATAATTAATTATTAAGATTATTACGTATGTTGACACCTTGTTACTGTGTTGTTTCATTTAATTTGATGTATAATTATTTATATATACATGATTTATACATTATATTATAATGTTTATATGATGCATACATATTCATTATATATATATATATATATATATATATATATATATATATATATATATATATATATATATATATATATATATATATATATATATATATATATATATATATATATATATATTTATTTATTTATTTATTTGTATATATATATATATATATATATATATATATATATATATATATATATATATATATATATATATATATATATATATATATATATATATATATATATAATGAATATGCTTTTGTATGTGTGTGTATTGATAAATATCAACATTTATACACACACATGCACAAACTTACACACACACACACACACAGACACACACACACACATATATATATATATATATATATATATATATATATATATATATATATATATATATATATATATATATATATATATTTATCTTTATATTTACATTTATCTATATATTTACACTTTATATTTACATATTTCAATACACACACATGCACAAACTTACACATGCACACACACACACACACACACACACACAATACAAAGAAACGTTTTCATAAAATAAACACACACACACACACACAAATACAAAGAAACGTTTTCATAAAATAAACAAAAAACAATTTATCTAAACAGACAAGGACTCAAAGAAGATATAGATGACCAAAGTCATCATAATCTTTTCATAGAACCTCTATTTGGACATATAAAACTCCGTTAAAATATGAAAAAATAATCTCTGTTGTATATGCAGAGTAAAAGACAACAATATGGAATAAACTCCTATAAAAATAAACTAAGTTTAATAAAAAATAAAACAAAATATAAGAATTTAAGTTTAACAAGAAGATTTATCAAAAAGGTTTTTCAAAAAGGTTTGTATATCAAATTTCAAAGCTTTCAATTAATTTCAAAATTTTATTTTTTTATATGAAACTTAAATGATTTTACTGATTTCACCATATTGAAATATTTTTAAAGCTGTTCTATATCTAATGTCAACGATATTTTACGTCACGATATGTCACGATTTACTTTATATTTTTTTAATTTACGAGAAAGTGTGAGCCTCTCATTAGATCTTAGAGAATAGTTATTGTTTTATTTTATTTGAAATTTTGTTTCTATGTTGTTTGGTGTAAGGTTTTTAAAATGATTATACATGAAGATCATGTGTTGAAGTCTGTTTATCTCATTAATATACATTCAACATTTTCATTTTCCTCATTAATTGCTTTGCATACTCAAATCTATTTTTTTGTTATATAATTCTGCTAGCATGTTTTTGCACACTAAATATCTTTTTAAGTTTATCAGGTTATTTGCTAGCCCACGCAATTTTACCATAATTATTGTAGCAATGAGTTTGGCTAAAGTATAATATTTTAAGACTGATCATTTATGAATGGAGTAATTGTGTAAATTATGCCAACTGTTTTGTTTGTTTTTGATTTGGTGTATTCTATGTGAGGATAAGTTATTACCTTTAAGATAAGTTATTACCTTAAATAAAAGGTTTTTGATTTTTTATCATTTATAAAAAGAACTGGTATATTAGGTGGCAGATTTTTCCTCTAGTCTTTTTTAATAAAAAAAATGTATTTTATATTTTATCCGTGTTTATTGAGAGCTTGCTAGCTTTAAACCATTTATTTACTTTTATCAGTTCAATATTCATATCTCAATACAGTTGATTAATACCATTATTAAACATAAATAAATTAGTATCATCAGCATACTTAACTGAATTTAATTTTGCAGATATATTACAAAAGTCGTTTATACAAATTAGAAATAGAAGAGGGCCGAGGATTGAACCTTGTGAAACTCCACGCAAAATGTTTAATCTATCAGCATCCTGATTATACATACTGTTTTGGTTATTACATCCTACATACTGTTTTGGTTAGTAAGGAACCTCTCGCTTATGAAGCTCGCTTATTCCAACTAAATGATTTGTTTGTTACAACATAGTAATTTAACATTTCTCAAAGTTTGGAGTTATCTACTGCGTCAAACGCTTTTAACAGATCTATAAATATTCCATTTGGTTATTTCGTCAACTTACCCAACGATTTCCTGCTCTGTTGAAGTATTTTTTTCAGAACCAAAACTGTTTAGGGTAAAGGAGTTTGTTTTTACAAAATTGCTATAAATCCTATTATACATAACGTGTTCATGTATTTTTGAGAAAATGGATAACACGGCTATAGGTCTATAATTTGAGATTAAATGGAATTGATATAATAGGAATTATCATTGTTTTTATAAATTGGGTAAACTTTAGCTACTATTAATATATCAGGAAAAATTTCACTTATTGAAAGTTTAAGAATATAAAGCAAAGGTTTGTTGATGTTTTTTTTTTGTTTGAAACGACTATATTAGCTGATACTCCATCAAAACCCAAAGATTTATTCGTTTTTAAAGTTGAGGAATTTTCCTCAGTTTTTTTTACCGCTAATTCACAATTAAATAATATATTATTATTAGATGAACTTTAATTATTATTACCCAGCGGGCATTTTGACGTCCTAAGAACGTCCGTAAGACGTCTTAAGTCTCGTCCGTAAGACATCCTTAGTTGGTCTCAAATGAAAGGCTTGAGGACGTCTATTCCAGATGTCCTAAAGACGTCTTTTTAAGTCGTCCTAGAGACGTTTTTTGACGTTCTAGAGACATCTCTGGCTGGTCTAATTTTAAAGACTTAAGGGCGTCTTTTTCAGACGTCCAAGAGACGTTTAAATTTTACCAAGACATTATTTTAAAAAATATATAAAATTGCAATGATTTACAACCCAAACCTTAGATTTGCCTTAATCTAGGCAAGAGAAGTTATAAAAAGAAATCAATGTAAATAAAGTGTAATTTGATATATTTAAAATAAATTAATAATTTTACAAAAAAAAAAGAATAATTTTTCAAACAAAGTTACATTTTCAAATTAAAAACTAATAGGTACAGTAGAATATAATCGATAGTGCATTATAAATAGAAGAAAATTGCTTAAAAATGGAAAAAAATAAATAAAATAAAACAGTTAAGCCATCATTGATCGAAATCCATATTAGTGGATATTCTCTTTATTCGGTCAGAAGAATGCCTAATTACTTTTCCAATAAGTTGGATGGTATCCATTTTGATTAAGTTTTTATTCGACTTTAAAGCAGCTTCTAATAAAAACAAAAAAACATGTTTCAAAAAGATCATTAAAAAAAAATGTCATGTATACATACACTTGAATACATGTCATGTTCCATAGCCAAAGAAATTAAATTTTTTAGCTTATTGATGTGTTTGATTAATTAAAAATTAAAAAACATCATTTTTAATTTTTAATTAATCAAACACATTATTAAGCTAATAAGAATACCAGTGACAGCGTAACATAGAGTTGTCAACTCTTTAAACTTTTTTTTCTTCTTTAGACAATTCATGCTGTATTCTGACAAAATAGTGTCTGTTGGCAGTCTACACAATAAAAAAGAAGATAAATGCTGTACTGTCAATCATAAATGTTAAAATTCAAACTTTTGCTAATTACTTACAAGAGCAAAATATTTTTAATTGTATCAGCTAGATTTTTACCCCCAATTAATGATAACTGTTTTACCTAAAAAGAAACAATGTATTAGAAACATTGAAAATGCTTATAACAATTTAAAATAAATATTGTAATAATATGTAACATATAAAATATAAAGTTGAAACTCATGTATACAAAAGTGATGTATAGGATATCTCCATTTGCGAATTTTTTTTTCAAAACATTAAATTTATCTGAACTTTTACGTTGTTTAAAACCTTCTTCTGGATTATTAGAGAACAGTGCAGTTCTATCTACTAAAACTTTTTTCATTTCAGCAAGTTGGAATATAATTTTTTTCTAAAACTCTGAAAAGTAAAATATATAAGTGAAGCCATATAAATAGTATATAAAATAGTAAATAGTACTTCCTATATATGGTTGAAAAGAGGTTTCTTCGTATTTTTTAATTGTATGAACAGCGAAATATATGTCAAAAAAAAAAAAAAAAAAAAAAACCAACAACAACAACAATACTAACTGCTTTTATTCATTATATTTTAATGGTACTTAAAATATTTATAACAATTTAACCCAGAGGCGATTCTACGAATAAAATAGAAGGAGGGGGGGGGTGAATCCTTAAAAAGTACCGACTAGCTTCTAAAAAAAAAAGGTCTTCAAAACGAAAATTTAACCAACTGAATTGTGCCAAATAGCCGACTAAAATCGTAAAAAAAAACCGATTATAAATTGAAAATCATCTTCTTTGGTGGGTGTAACACCCCACCCCCACCCCGTAAAATTGCCTCTGATTTAACCTCATTTTGCACTTAGTAAAATTTCTCGCCATTTCTATTTTCCTTGAGTTTGGTTCTGTTTATATAAGCCCACTTTTTTATGTAAACATTTTTTGGCAATTTTTGCTTTTCATTCTTTGAAAAGTTTTTATTATTATTATTATTATTATTATTATTATTATTATTATTATTATTATTATTATTATTATTATTGTTTTAGGTCCCCCTAAGAAGACCTAACGGTCTTGTCACAGAGCACCGCGGAAGTACATTTAAACAGGAAGTTCACGCATCCTTCCTTACTGTGACGCAAAAATATGTCCAGACCTCGTTTCGAACCTGGATCTCCTGCTAATAAAGCAGACGCTCTAACCACTGTGCCACGGCCGAAAAGTGTAATTTATTAAAAAATAATATCTAACAGATATGTTATATCTAAGCGAATAAAGAAGGATTTATAAAATTTAAAACCATAAATCTGTTATTTTTGCTGAAGTTATATTATCTCGTTGAAGCAAATTTTTTCTTCGGCAGTTATTTTTTTAATTTTTTCTTCGGAAATTATTTTAATAGTTAATATTAAGTTGAAAAATCGCAATTATTGTTCCAGTCTAGATTTGTTATGTTGCATAAAAATCTATAACAACCCATATAATTTTTTTAATTCAAAAGTATTCAAAAGATTTGAAGAAAAAAAGTTTGAAGAAAAAAAAGTGTGTTTGATGTTTACAGAATACCTGCTCTGTAACAATAATTACTCAAATCGGCAAACCGTTAAAAGTTTATGTTTCAGTGATTTTGTCCAACAGGTTCTTCAAAAATGTAATGAAAACTATAAGATACTTTAAAAGAAAACGCATATGAACGATAATGATTAAACTTTGCTTTTTTGTTTGCTTTTGGTTTTTTTTTACAATTTCCTGTAAAGAACTAACTTTGAAAACAATATTTTTCGAATCTGAAGATGCCATCTTAAGTAAAAACATAACAAAAAATGAAGAAATACTTGAAAAGTATTTTCTTACTGACAATAAATGTAAGAGAATGCATTTTTATTTGATAGTGTAATAACAAAAATTAAAGAAATTTACAGTTATCCTCGTGCGTGTGTACGTAGCTCCGTTATAGAATTTTTGGTACTTATAAATTAAAATAAACAATTTTTTACCAAATACTTTTAATACTTATATAATTTTTTTTTTTTAGCTCAATCTGTTTGGACAATTGCACAAGCAACTGCAAAAGAATTATTCAAAGTTGATTACTTTATTGACGATTTGAGTGTAATGGAGCAAGATATCCATAAAATTGGTAGACAGTTCCTGAATTGTAAAGAATATAAGAACGAACAGAAAATATCAGAATGTTTTAGTGTTGTTGCAGATATATTAAGAGATGCTACACGTGATTTTACATGGAGTTATGATCCTACGATATTTAAATGGGACCGAATAAAGTATGGAACAATGTTTTTGACACTAGCAGTATTTGAAGCACATATTTCTCTTGCTGCAAAACAAGCTCCTCTTGCAAAAAAATATGAATTCGGAAAGCGATATGGCTTTATTTTTGATAGATTTAATTCGTTAATGTTTGATTTTGAAAATGCTCTAAACTCATGGAGATTGGACCAGGTTACACCCGTAAAAATTTGTGAGGTTCATTTAATTATGTGGAAAGAGTTCGAAGGTACGTGTGAAACAAGATGGCGTAGATCTGCCGATGAGGATGAGAAAGGAATTAGTTCTGGAATGGGGTCAAGCTATGACGTTGAAAGTTTAATAGATGAAAAAGTTGAAAAACTTGGCACAAACCTATTCCACAAAAAAAAGTACAAAGCTACTGTTTATGATTCTGCTAGTGATCATCAAGTGTTTCAAGAAGAAATAATCCTTGATACTGGTAGTAGAGGTATTGGAATTCATGATATTTTTCAAAGAGCAAAAGATGCTCGTTGGAAGTACATTGATACCATTAAAAACGACATGCCGAGGTACAATGAAGATGTTGTCCACGCTGTTCGAAATATAATTGAATCGATGATTAGGTATTTTAAACACTAAGTCACCGATTTATAAAATGAGTACCAATTTAAAAAGCAAGCATCTGTAAAAAAATATTTGAAGTAAACAACTTTTGAACGCTCTTCTTCTTTAAATATTTTTTTTTAAATCTATACATAAGCAACAAAATAAGTTTTTCATTTTTCAATAAGTTAACATTTTACATTGTTTTGTAACAAATTATATAATATAATTTTTTCTCAAATATGCTTACATATTTGAGAAAAAATTCCCAGAAGCCAATGGAAATAAAGTTTTATAATTTTCTAAAATAGCAATAGAAAGCAACTTTTGACAAAAAATAAGTCATATTATTTGACAATAAATAAGTCAGTTTATTTGACAGTAAATAAGTCATATTTTTCAAAAATTTCCTGTAACTTCAATACATTTTTCCTGATTATACAGTTTTTGGTCTTTTAACAAAATACCTATCAGCAGCTGAAGTGCTTTCATTTTATGTAAAACAATTTCCACCAAAAATTTCTTCATTTTAAGTTACTGTAGGTTTTTTTAAATATTTCTTTCCCAGTAAACATAGAGTCCTTTAGAATTAGCCAGAAATAGTTTATTAAACGTTTACAATATTGACTAACATAAGTCATAACTTTAAACGTTTAATTAACTTTTGTTAACTCATATATTAAAATAATTAAAGCGTGTATGTAAGATTATTTGGGGAGAGTGGGGAGAAGTGGGACGTGGGAGAAATTTTTATTTAGGAGTGGTGCCTAAATACTATTATTTAATGTAAACAATTAAATTTCTTCCCTAAAAATTGCAATATCTAAAAAGATATTGCAATTACCCTTAAAACAAATTTACGTGTCCCACTTCTCCCCACTCTCCTCTAAACGTCTACAATATTGACTAACATAAGTCAGTATTGCAAACGTTGTATAAGCAAAGATTAAAAGAACAAAATCGTATAATTCAGCTCTTTTATTACAGCTTTATAAAGTGTAGGTTAAATATTTTCAATACTAATTCATACAAGCTAAAATTATAAACCTTTTGCAACGTTTAATATATATGTAAAAGTTAAAATGGTTAAAGCCTACGCAGTGGTGTCACTGGGGTAGAAAGTGCGGGCCACAACGGATGACACCATAACGACCTGACACAGAATAGTGACATATAAAATGGAAAAAAATGCAAATACGACAGAGTTGCCCAGCCTCGTCTTAATTCAAAAATCAAAAGATTATATTTTGTATGGCCCAACTTTTTTTCCAACCGATCTTTTTTTTTATATATATTTTAGAAATTGGAAACCCGTGTCTTCGGCCTTGTGAGTGAAAGTCTAGAAGGGTAACATCAAAAGATTATCTCAGTGGGTGCTACCCTCAGCGATCCCACTAAGTCTACCTAAAAATTTTCATAAAACTGTATACACAGATAAGCATGTTTTATAATAGTATAAAAATATTATATATGTTAAGTTAGACTAATAAATGATGATCCTTATATAAATAATATTCTAATAATAAGAACAATTTAAAGCGTTAAATACAGACTAAATTTAAACTCTTCATATATTGATTTTATAGTTTGAATTTAAACGTTTTTTATACGTTAAATAAACCTATAAAAGACGTTAAAAATATGTTTGATTTGGAAGTTTGTTCAAAACGCTATTCTGGATATCAATTTGAACGGATAATTAACCAAAACTAAACGTTTTGGTTTAAACGTTGTTTTGACATTTAATAGACATTCATGTGTTTATTGAATTAGATTCTAAATCCCGATAGAGGATGACCCAAACCATAACCCTGCAAGAAATTTACTTGAAAACCGAACCAACTATTAAAACTCAAGTTTCAAAAAACTAAAAAAACTTAAGATTGACGTCATTGACAATGCACTTCATCTTTTTTTTCTCTACGACCTTTTTTCAATTCAGCGTGACATTACAAGTAATAAAAACTTTATAAAAATAATTACCGGTTGTTTCAAACATTAAAGGGAAGAAAATTTAATTGAAAAAAGTGATTATGGATTAGGATTGTTTTAGAGGAGTGGAATAAAAATTTTTTTGACACATTGACAAAAAAAAATTTTTATAATAGGGGAAAGCGGGGCAACATGGCGAATGGGGCAAGATGGGTTTTCATATAACAACTCAACAAAAATTTTTAAAATTGGGTGAAAACGAAACTGTATTTGCATCTTGTATTTTAAAACACCAATCGGTTTTTTGAAATATTATTAACGCCATTTTATACAAATATGTTTACTTTTAGCGCTTAAAAAAAAATTCCTCATTTTTGGTTTCTCATAATGGTTGGTGTCCTTCAAGTTTAACTTCTTTAGAAGTAGTTTTAGCAATTTGTGTTTATTTTTTGTTACTTTAATTAGAGTTATTAGCAGTTTTTAAAATTTTATAAAATTGGAGGTAAAAATTGCATAATAAGTCATCTTGCCCCGGTCACGTGACCAGATGACAAGTTTATGAACTTTTTATTTTAATATTTATTTCAAATTGTTATATTTGCAAACTGAAAATTCATGCAGGCAATGAAAGAACTTAATAGCATAAACATACTGAGAAAGTATTATGGCTTCACGGCTTATAGTTTTTCAATAACTCAGGGCTTTCAAAACGTTCGCCATGTTGCCCCACTTTCCCCTACACCATACCTTAAGTATTAAGGGATAATTGCTCAAACTGGAATCAAAAATGGCTAAAGTGTGAAAAAAATTATTTAGTTAATACAAACAGGCAACCCAACTATACCTTTAACCATAACTTGATTTAATTTATTGTACTCTTATTGGAAATAATTTCGGTTTTTTTCATGTCACCATTTTGTTCTAATCAAGGCAACCGGTAGCCAAAATTGGGACACTTTGATTCCTTAATCAGAACAGCTCGTTTTTTTAAAAAAAGAAAAAAAAAAGAGCAAAAAAATATAAAAAATTATTTCCAACTTTATAGTGACAAAAAAAAAAAATTATTCGAGAAAAATGAAATTCTACAAATTGTACATATCTTTTAACTATAATATCGTTTTTTTTATTAATTTATAATAATTAAATAAAGTTTTATTTTTAAGGTTTATGATTGGAGCTCGTGGTTTTTTAACTGCGCATGAACTATTTCTCTAACCCTTTGATTTAATCACTGATTAAGTCAGGAAAATTTTATAGTTCTGATTAAGAAAAATTCAGACTATTTAGTTATATCACTGCAGTTTCATGGTTGCAGAAACTTATATGATAAGTTTATGTTATTATTTGCATTTTCAATTCCATCGCATTAAACACGAAAAACCGTATAATTGCCGCAGCAGTATAGTTGCGGATTATACGGTAGTATAATCCGCAACTATAGCTTGGTTTCCAATAGTTGTAGAAATGTCGTACAACAGTTGTACAACACCTTTGTTTTATAATGGAAACATTTTATACCGTAAGTTGCACAACTTTACGTCGGTTGTACAACAAAACTCATGTTGTACAACTCCGGTTGTGAGTATTGAAAAAATTCTATTTCTGCAACCGTGTTTTTGGTTGCGCAGTTAAATTTTTATTGGAAACTGCACAAAAACTGTAAAGTTAATAAAACATCTTCATTTTTTACAAAACATGACGACAACTCCGTTATGTGTGTTTGAAAAACTATCTAAAGCAGCTTTTATGAATGAAGTTCAAAAATTTCCAGTATTGTATGACAAGTTTAATAAAGATTTTAAAGATAAATGGAAAAAGAAAAATGCATGGGAAGAAGTTGGTCATCTTTCAAACTTATCTCCTAATCAAGCGGAAGAGAAATATAAAAGCATTCGAAGTAGTTATGGAAGGTGGCTGAAATCAAAAAAAAATATTCTATCAGGTTCTGGAAGGAACTCAGTTCCACCTCAGTTTCTTCAGCTCGATTGGCTAAATACTTTAATAGAACATCGCGAAACAACAACCAGTATTTGTTTACCTTCTGACTCCAGATTAGAAACATCAAATTTGGAAGAAAACATTGACATGGTATGTGAGCAAGTTGAAAATACTCATCATCCATTTAATAATGATCATATATCTGAAGATGTGACCACAGAAAACAGCTCTATAAATACTTGCGTGCAAGGAGAGTCAAGTGAGTCAGCAATTCACGCTAATAACAAAAAAAAAAGAAAAAGTTGGATTCTGATGATTTACTTGATAGAACCTTTAGTGAAAACATTAGAAAAAATTAACTCCAATATTGAAAATCCGACTCTTGAAGAGCAGGATGAAGATTATTTATTTATGAAATCATTAGTTCCGCAACTTAAGCGATTAAACAACTATTCTAAAGCCTTGGCTAAAGTTCAAATACAAACATTACATCTTAAATTAGAGTTTCCAGACAGAGGTGAAACTATCTAGCCAATTACTCTACTTAACTGGTCAATGTGGAAAAACTGTACTTTAGAAGTAAATAAACTATGAAGTAACTGTTGATAATTTGTTTAAAAAGACACATTCTGGCTTACTATTCTTTTTAACCTATTGATGCAAAACATAACATTTTAAGTAAAATTAGATGTGAAGTTACTTTTGATTAATCATTGGAATAGACAAAATTTAGCTTACTATTTTGTTAAGTCTCTTGATGTGATAAACTATAACTTATTTTAGAAAATCATGGAGGTATAAAATGTTAATCTTTTAAAACTATAAAAAAAAAAAAAAATGTAAATTATTGGTTTGTTAAATATAACATATTTTCTTTTATTAGGAAGTTTTGTTTATTACATACATTCTAGTTATTAACTGGATTGTGGCCACACGATTGAACATAGTCCATTTGCCACGAAAGGCTTCGTTCACATGAATTAAAATAATCTTTATAAGTATTTCTTATTGCAATTGCATCAAAAACAGATCTATTACTTGTTGATTTTGAGAAATCAAGCAAACACCCTTGATCTTGTAACTCTTTTCTCCAATCTCCTTGAATAACAGTTCCTGAATGACTTTCACTATCAACAAAACCAGTTGGAATATAATGCGCTCCATCTGTTAAACGCAAATAGTTGTGAAGACAAACAGTAGCCTTTATTATATGTTCCACTTTCAATGGCTTTGCTTTAATTGGA